AATTTAAGCACTGTGGAAAAACTTCGAGCGAAGTTTTTCTGATTAAATTCGGTAAAAATTTTTTATTTGATCATTTATCATGTGATTTTTTCAAATCTAAGCAAAAAATAGCTTTCATGATAATTTTTTATTAGTGAAACGTTACAATATCAAAAAGTACTCTAAAGTGTATAAATAAGTTATCCGGGTAATTAATTTATATTAGCCAATCAAACGAATGTCTGACCATGAACCTGTGGGTGACCCGGGTAAGACCCATACACATAAAAATTTGTTTTTATGTTGTTGTTATACAAATATTCAAATTTAGCTACGTGGCGTTACAAACGGAAAATACCGAAACTATATTATTGATATTCTTATTATAGATGTATCAAAATAGTAATTTTGGTTATCAAAACGCATAAACATGTGAGTCCTATGCTACGCTCCGGACAATAAAGTTCAAATAATGTAATTTTTTTATTTTTATTTGTAAAGAAGTTTAAATTGGATTTTAATAAAGATAGAGACATGGCCTCACCTTTAAAGATTAAAAAAAAAAAATAATAAATAGATTAGATCCAAGTTCACCAAATTTGCTTCAAAAATGGTTATTTTTAATCAAAATTTTAAAAAAAATTATAATATAGAAAATTTATTAGTTTACACATAGTGTATAAACACAGATCAGTATAGTGAAGTAAATACAGTATATAAACACGGATTGACATAATATTATATAATAAAAAAAATTAAAATTTGAAAATTATGATATAATTCTTAATCTAAAATAAATATCTATGATACAGCTAAAAACTAATCTCTTTTACACTTTATGCTTGTTTGATAAATGTTTAATCTAAAAACTAACCTCTTTATACTTCACATTTGTTTAATAAACGTTTAATCTAAAACTAACTTCTCTCTTATACTTCGTGCTTGTTTAATAAATGTTTAATCATTTAAAATGAACGAACTTGAAGATCTTTTTCACGATAAGCAATACATATTTGCTTCGATTTCAACACCAGTTTCCGTGATTATTCTTCTTTATTTTCTATCCACACTCTATTACAAATACTTATCTTCTAACAAGTAATTTCACTAGCTTTATGAACCGATTTCGGTATTAAACTTCATGACTGAACTAAATTATGAAAGTTCTATTTACGATGATCAAGATGTATTTGCTTCAACCTCAACACAAGCTCCTGTAATTAGTCCTATTTACAATGATCAAGATGTATTTGCTTTAACCTCAACACAAGCTTCTGTAATTAGTCCTATTTGCAATGATTAAGATGTATCTGCTTCAACTTCAACACAAGCTTCTGTAATTAACACTATTTGTAATGATCAAGATGTATCTGCTTCAACCTCAACACAAGCTCCCGTAATTAACCCTATTTGTGATGATCAAGATGTATCTACTTCAACCTCAACACAAGCTCCTGTAATTATTTGATTTTTTTGCTCTATTCTTATCTAATACTATACCGTGCCTAAAGTTATTACTAACCTGAAGTTGCAGCTTTAGATGCCTAAAGTTGTAACTTCAGGTTAATGATGACTTTAGGTACAGTATGTTGTCCAACAAAAATTCTAACATATATTTACTTAACACTGTAGTTTCCTGAAGTGATAACTGATAGCAATCTATTTGATAATGAATCAGATGGATCAGATGATCCATCTGATTCAGTAGAATTGATTTCGGAACTTATCTTTCCTAACTGGGAAGAATTCAAGATTTGGTTGAATAGATTCGCATTAAAGAATGGATTTAGTTATAAAGTTAGAACAAGTGAAATAACTAATGGTGTAATGAAAAGAGCTATTTATGAATGTACTAAATCTGGTTTATATGCTCTGCAAGTTACATCAGACCCAACAAAGAAGTGTAACACATACTCTCAACGGATGCAATTCCAGTGAAAGCTCAATGTCACCTACTCAAAAACAAGTAGTGTTGTAAAAATTAATTCCTTTGTCAATGAACATAATTACTCTCTTATTCCAATAATACGTGAAATAGCACTGTGGTTTCAGAAATTGACGAATAGAATGCTAAGTGATATAGAAAAGTATGTTATCTAGAGGAGAATGAATTCAAGTTCTATTTATCCATTGTTAAAGCATGATTATCCGGACCAACCAATTTATAAGTGAGATTTGTATAACACGGTTTATCAGTTTCGTCAAAAAAATAGTTCAGAGAAGGCAGATGCTTCTCAAATATTACAGTTACTACTAGATTGAAAGGACTTAGAGATATTATGGGTTATAAAGCCTTGTTTAGATTCAGTTTCAAGGTGATTGAACTCTCTTTTTTGGGTGTCTCCTATTCAAAGAGAGTTATATAGTAAATATAGTAATGTAGTAGTAGTAGATACTACTTATAACACCAACCGGTTTAGAATATTGCTTTGTATTATAGCTATTGTTGATAATAACTATAGAACTAGAATCGTTGCAAGTGCTATAATGGAAGATGAAACACTAGATACTTACCAATGGATCTTTAATAATTTACTTACTGAAACGGGTGTTTTGCCTAGTGTCGTATTTACTGATTCAGACCCTTCAATGATCCGATCAATCATGGATACTTCCCTAATATTCAACATCTTTCATGTATTTTTTATATAGATATGAACCTTCGAAAAAAACAAAACTAAATTAGATAATCAGTTTGAGAAATTTCGTCGTAAATTTTTTATATATCGAAATTCTCTTTGTAAAGATCTATTTGAATATTAATAGAATCAGTTAGTTGATCAGTATCCTGCGGCACTAAAATACTTGTTAGAAACACCTTATGTTATTAAGGAATCATAAGCAGTACCTTGGGTTCATGAACATTTTTCAGCTAGTATTCAAAGTTCACAAAAAGCAGAATCAATCAATAAAAATATTCATAACAAAGTTGATCGTTTTATATCACTATGCAACTTAGTACTTAGCATAAAGAATTATATAAAAAATGATGAGCATCTAAAAAATTTTGACATTGAACGAAATGCTTTATCTGTAATTGGCTTGCCAATATTAAATTTAAGACTTTTCAGCCAAATAGATTCTATTATTAAGAATTTTTTAATACTAGTGATGCTCAGCAAACAAAGGTCTCAAATGAATCAATCTGTTTGTTATAATATTAATCGAATTATATAGTGTCAACAATTGATAGATATAAGTAATCATCTATGATTTTATAATTATAACTAGAGATGTATCATTTATATGATACTTGAATTTTTTTCATGTATAGTATGTATAGTACGTACAATATATAACGTACAGTACATATAGTACTGTACATGGCACATCTATAATTATAACTCTAATTAATTCATTATGGTTTTGTTATAGTTTTTTTATAGACGGATATTGATAATGAAGAAATTAGTATCAGTACTAGAGAACAAGAGCAAGACATAAAGCAAATTCTTTTTAGTTCATTAGCTAAAACTATACTCCAAAATGCAATTTTAGAAGTCTGGAATGTATGCACTACTGGGACCCAAGGAATAGACCATTATGTAATACTGCTTAATGAAGGCACACATTTATGTACATGCCTTTTGTTAGTTAATAAGGCACTTTTTCTATGTTGGAACTTACTCTCAGCATGCTACTTTCCATATAAGTATAATTCCAAGTAGATGGTATTCAAATTTTGATATTGAACAAGATGATTTTTTACAACAATATCCTCCCATTCTAGTATGTGATACAAGGTTGGATAATAATATGGTATTTAAGGAAAGCATTAGTTTTTGGCATTTTTTTTTAATTCAGAACAATTCATCTGGTTCTCAAGCTTTAGTAAGATCAAATAAAACTCTTTACGCAGAATTATTTGGCCTATCAAAAAAACTTATAAATTATACCATTAAGGCTAATTGGGAATATAAATTATTAAATATGTTTAAGCAATTAATACATGATGCTTAAAACAAGAATCAGAAAACAGAAAATTTCTTATCTAATATTAACAATCCTGTTGTCATTAGACACAAAGGCCAACCTTCAAAAAGACTCAAAGCAAGTATTGAAAAAGGCACATGTAAGAAGAAGCAAGTTTTAAAGGATAATAGAAATATTAATGTACTGGATAACAATAACGAGAAGAACATAGTGAACACAAATGGGAGAAAATATAGTAAGTGTAAGCAATATGGGCATTATGCAAAGACTTGCCAATACGTTGATTAGTATTATTATAATATTTAGTGGTCTGTGTGTTGTATTAGCAGTAGTATTAGGTATGAAATTGTATTGATTTTATATGAGCATATTGTTATCATTGATCAAAGCTTCAATTATTATATGATTGCAAAATTACTGTATGTATATGTATATTAGTGTGCATATGATCTATTTTTGTATTTTTATACTAGTTATTGTTAGGTACATGCATATGTATATACCACAAAACAGGTATTCAGTAATATGCAAAGTACAATAAGAATCGACAAATGTATATGTGTATATATATATATATGTACTTATATATACTAAATTTAGATTTGTACTCTTCAAATAGTTAAATGATTGCGATATAATAATATAGAGAAATAACTTGGTTTAAGAAATTTTTTCTCTTGTAAATTGTATATATTACAGATCAAGTTGGTTTTTAGGCCAAGTTAAACTTGACCCAGGTCAAAATGACTTCTAACAGAATATTAGAGTTAGTGCGAGCCAGAATCACGTTGATGCTAGCCGAGGTTTTTTAATTAATTAAATTAATTTGGGTCAAGTTTAACTTGATCTAAAAACTAACTTGACCCGTAACATATGCATTATTATAAATAAATTATATGTTTGTTATTATATATACTGTAGTTAATTATATTGTATTGTATAAATAACTTCATTTTTATTAATGTCTTATTTCTCGAAATCTGATTAGATAATGCAGTATCACGTGATGCATGTATATACACATAGTGTACAAATAGAAATACTTATAAAATTATATCACATTATACTATAATTATTTTTTAGTTGACTAGAAAATTATTAATTAAAATTTTATAAATAAAACTGTTTTCATATTCTAATAAAAAAATTTTTTACAAAATTTTAGTATAGTATATATTTTGTTAAATCTTTATATTTCTTTAAAATAATATATTTTATTGACTTAATATATATACTATAGTACTAGGTTAATAGAAACCATTTTAAGTCTGAAAAAAAATTAACATGGATCAGTCTGACAACACAGCTATTTTTAAAATAATGATTGTTTTAATTTAATCAATCAATTAAAATCTGTAATTTGCAAATATACAAACATTAAATGCTCTATGTTTTTACAATAATGTTCTTTAGACAATTGCTAAAAGTTTTAAAATCTAACAAAATATATTTCATCTAATTAAAAACAGAATTTCTATATATTTAATAGAAACTGTAAAAAATATTAATAAACCTAAATTGGAATAGCAATTTTAAAAGAATATTTTAGTAATACAAAATATTTATTTTTAATATTTTTGTATAGGTACTGCTATTTGCATTATTAGTTTAACCAGAGTTTTTTTTTTGTTTTAAGGTGATCTCTTGGTTATCTTCTTTTATTTGATTATTGTTAACTTTTATAGTATGGTGTACCAAACTATATACATATTTCTATATATATTAATCATCTAATCGATCGAGAATACTTAATACATTCTTATTTTTGGATATCTGATTTAAGACTTTAAAACAAGCTTCTATTGAGCCCTTTATCTTCAAGATAAACCTGCTAAAGCCTTCTGTATTCACAATCTGGCTGATCTAGACTTTAGTTAATATACACAGACCAAGGCCTACCATTTGCGCTTCAGTTTTTATAGTAGAAATGTTTTTCAGCTGTTTTGTTCTTACTAGTTTTTTTGTAATATTTTAACTTAACTATAGCCTGATAGCTACTATACAACCTACTTCTGCCCTTTATAAAGTTTACCCAAATCCTGATATACTTATAGACTATTTATCAGTATCCTTAGCTACCCCAAACTGCTAATTTAGATAGCTTAGAAGGGTTATAACCTATTTTTGGTTCCTACAATTAGGTCCTTTTCTTCCGGTTACTTCTCTAGCAGCCTGGTTAGTGAAGTGCCTTGCCAAATACTTTAGTCATATTCAGTTTTACCAGTTCTCCAAGTAGTAATTCGCATGTAGTACTGTTAAAGTTTTGTGCTACCTCTTTATTCAGAACTTTTCAAGCGAATACCCACCGTTATATTAGCTTTGTGGCTTTCTGCAATTCTAAAAGACTTATCTTGGGTTTGCACTAACTAAACCAGCTTGCATATCTTTGTATAACTTTTTTATTATACAAATGTTTCAGAATCTTCCAATTTTTATTTTGGTATGACCACAGTTACAAGGTCTTGAGTTTTTCTGACTACGATAATAGTTGCCAAATCTATTTTTCTAAAATCCAATTTTTGCTTTTCATGGAAATTGAACTTGTACTTAACTGCTTGAAAGTGTAATAACTTCACCACTTTATTAAGTTGCCACACTCTGTTTAACTAGAATTAAAGTTAGTTCCAATCAAATTAATAGTATAAATAGCAAAAATTGTAATGCAAATAGCAATTATCTTTTTGTATTTACTTTTTTAATATATCTAAAGCTAACCAATAAAATTGTATATTATTATATTAAAAATTAATAAAAAATACTGTATATAAATTTTAAAATATATTTAGATATATCAAAAAATACAAAATATTGAAAATAAATGTTTTGCTAACTTTAACAAAAACAAAACTGCCAAAAAAATAAAACTATATACTGTATATACAATCAGATCTTCCTAAATGCACCCTCTCTAAATGCAGCACCCCCCTAAATGCATGATATAAGCCCGGGCCCATGGTGAAACTTATAGATAAATGCACATTCTTTATTCTGTAAGTGCATGCTAATTGTCTAGCCCACTTATAAAAACTCTCTATAAATACATCCACGTGATTATCAACCAATCAAATCTATTATTTTAGGCAATTAAAGACACATTTAACACGTAATAATAGTCACATAGTGATTTTATTAGTGTTCTTTAATTGCAACTAGAGTTGCAGGTAAAACTAAATCACACTGGTGAAACTGGTGACTATCTAAAATCTGATTGGCTATTGCATTCAATAGCCAATCAGATTTTAGATAGTCAATAGTTTCACCAAGTTTCACCAGTTTCACCAGCAACTCTAATTGCAACCCTCCCTAAATGCACGCTCTAAAGCTGGTCCCGACGACGTGCATTTAGGGAGGTCTGACTGTATATAATTTTTTAAATATTAGTATTATAATCTAAATCAATGTAAAATTTTATTACTATCATTTTTGATTAGTATACTAAGGTTAATTTAAATCCTGCTTTTTAAGTATGTTTGCATTTCTTTTTTTATTTCGGGATAATCAAATTGAACTAATTGATTGGCTGTTTTACTTTTAGAAGTTGGTATTACCGGCACACATGTCGGAAAAATACCGAAACGACATATGGAATTTTTTAAAAATATCCGTAATATATGATGGAATTGCAATAAATTTAAATTTAAATCTCTTATATTCCGGTATATACATATCCAAATTTGACAATGTATTGTTTATTTACAAATTCTATATTAAAATCTGCATAATCTATTTAACATTAAATATATATAAATTTTGAAGCTCTATCATTTATATAACTAAAATATGCGGTAAGTGAAAAAGACAAAGTGAATAATGTATATATCTCCGGATATAACAGACATATATTCAATTTGCATGCATTGGATTTTGTGTTTGCATGCATATAATTTTGTTAAGCCATGGAAATAAATATACAGTAATAAGTTTATGAAGGCAATCATGGCTTATAACAAATTTTCGGTTGTATAATAAAAACTAAATTGTCTACTAAAAAAAATAATAATGAATAAGTTCTGCACATGTAATCACACAAAATTGTTCATAAAAACTAATAAAAGATCGGATTAAACAATATTTAATTAAATTGGATTATTTTAAATATACTGTCTTGAATTGATACGGAACCTTAAAAACATGAAGAGTCTAAATAGTAACTAATTTGACAAAATCAATTAAACCTAATTGTTTTTCTTTCCGTCGTCATCTATTTCCTCATCATCTCCATCTTCAACAGTTGTACGAAGATCTCTATCCTCTTTTCCTTTATCTTCATCCTCTTCTTCATCATCCTTCTTCCTGGGTTCCCATGCCCAAAGTGGAATAAAACTATCGATAAAGCCAACATCCGCAAATAAATTAGGAAATATCCATATGCCAGGAGGTACGACTATCATCGTGATAATGAACAGCACAAGCCTGACCACAGCAAGGACCATGAACACTCCAAAGAGACATAATATAGCCACTGATATGTACCAAACCATATCTCGTAATATAGGTGGCCAAAGAGGAAACAATACTGCAGCAAAAACGATTCCTATTAACCCAAACCCTCCCAAATAATTCATCAATTGTGATCCTTCATAAAACCAAGCATAATATTGGTCATCGCTCCATTGCTGTACAGACGTTACGGATAAAGATTTTTTTTGAGCGCTACTTTCACTTCCGGAACGCTCAACGCGTAAGTAAAAAGCATGAGTCATCACATCACTAAGAACACGAGACGCCTCAGCTTCATTAGTAATTTTTGGAACGTTCTTTAATTTTCCATAAGATTCTTTTTGAAGAGCCTTTATAGCAGATTTCCCTATTAAATGTCATTATATAATGCTCTTGAATTATTTAATTTGTTGGGAGATATCGATAACAACCACATTCTCACCTTTGAAATAGTCCACTCTCTTTCCATTTAAAATACCTTGCCGGATTTTTAGGTGTGATGTAGATCTCAAATATTTAACTACATTAAGAAGTTCTGGTGGTGCTTCAGCTTGCTTTGCTTCCATTTTCTTAACGCACTTTTGAAGATTATTCGAAAAAGGGGATTGAAAGTTTCTACACAGCGCCAAACTTTTATTTCGTTTTTTAAATATTGGCCAATTGAATTTGACCACATTCTTTGTGATCAGTGATTCCGCAAATATCAATTTTATTGGTGTTCGCATCAGTATTATGTAATATTCTGTTTATTTAAAAAAATTTTTTCACGGTTCAATATTCGAAAACACGTTTATTACTGGTGGTGAAATACAATTCAATATTTATATATAAAATATAAAATTTGTTATAACTCAAGCCCTAATAATTTAAAAAAAATCTGTTTTACAAATTTGCTGCTTTTAGCCTGAGCTACAATTCTGTAAGAATAGATTTTTATTTATTTTATAAGATTAAAAAGTTATTGCAGTTTAAAGTTTATATGTATCGTACCGCACTGATTAAAAGACCCGGGGTCTAAAACAAATTACCTAACCAAAAACCTATAAAATATTGTATGGCAGAGGATCTCTATCGCAAACTACAAAAATTTCAAATGCATATACATTCCTTAATCATAGTATATAGCCTGAGATTTTAAAAAAATCTAATTACAATTAATGAAATTTCTTTGATTTTTACATGGGTATTTTACATAGGGGATATAATAAAATAAGGATCTTTTAATCAGTGTGATATGGTATATCTCAATTTTTTTGTTTTTATTTTAAGTTTAAAAAATTTAAAAAAATTAAATAAAAATTAAAGATTATAGAAAAGAATTTAATAATTTTTTAAATAAATATTATTTATCACAGTTGATCTTTAGTATAAGTAGATATATATAATTATTATATAATTATTACATATATAATTTAACTATTTTGAACTAATTTAAATAATTTTATAAATTATTAGGATTAAAGTTAAGGTTAAGCTTTAAATTGGCTCAAATTAGTTAGGTTTTATATATTATAATCTTGTAATAATTTATATATACTTACCTATACTAAAAGAGATCTTTTATCACTATTAATACTATATCTTAAACAAAATATACAAATATACTTTTAAACTTTTATTTAAATTACTATTTTTAGTTCTATTCAAAAAAATATTATTACTATGAATCACTAAATATATATCATTTCATTTACTATATAGGGGGAGTCAGTA